ATTGGGGGAGGGGAAATCGAACACAGGATCGCTGTTACTAATTCACTAATATTATAGAACATATATATATATATATAATTATATTATTAATATTTAATACTTTACGTCCATAAAATATTAATGATATCATAACATCACGTGATGATGACCGCTACGCTCATTGAAAGGTGGTGCATAGAAGCTTGATCAAGACCGGTTTCGAGTCCTGCACTTCCGTGGCGAACTCCGCCATGGATTTTTACGCCAAAGCGGGGGAATTGGGTTCTGCATTGTGTGTTTTTGAGCATGAGTCATCTATTCCGCAGAACGTCGTTCTTGCCAAGGCTGTATGTCTTTTTTCAACGGCATGAGGAGCAGAGATGAAGTTTCTTGGAATATTGTGGTTTGTGGGTGCCTTGATGAGGGTGATTTGGCACAAGGGTTGTAGTGGTTGAACAATCCTGGGGCTTCTGCTGATGGGTTTCAATTTCAGCCTATTAACTCTACTTTGGTGCTTGTAATCCAAACTTGTCGCTGCCTCGGAGCTAAGTGCAAGGGGCTGGCGGTGCATGGTTATGTGATTCGAGGCGGGTTTTGCTTTGTATCTTTGGTTCAGAACTCTTTGTTGAGTCTGTATGCAGAAGAAGGTGACATGGACAGCGCGCGGAACTTTTTTGATGAAATGCGTGAGTGAGATGTTGTCTCTTGGAGTGTGATGATTGGTGGCTTTGAGTGTTGTGAGGAAGCTCGAATTGGGATACGGATGTTCCGAAAGATGGTATCTGAGCTTGGCATTGGACCGGATGGTGTTACAATGGTCAGTGTTCTTAAAGCATGCACTAATTTGAAGGGCTTGACCATGGGAATGGCGGTCCATGGGTTGGTAATCTGTAGAGGTCTAGATCGTGATATGTTTGTTGGAAACTCTTTGATCGATATGCATACCAAGTGCAGTGATGCGGATTCTGCACTTAAGGTTTTTGAGGCAATGCCGTGAAGGAATAAGGTCTCGTGGAATTCTATTTTATCTGGATTTGTGTTCAACGAGAAGCATTTGGAGGCCCCGTCTCTGTTTTTTCTCTATGGGGAAGGAAGGAATTGACGCGGACGAAGTGACTCTTGTGAATGTTCTTCAAAAGTCTGACATTTGGGCTTGATTCATTGCAAGTCGGTGCACTGCATAACAATCAGATCGGGATACGAATCAAAGGAATTGCTCCTAAATTCTCTCATGGATTCTTATGCAAAGTGCAACGATGTTGAACTTGTGTGGAAACTTTTCAGAGGGATGAAGAAAGGAGAGGTGGTTTCATGGAGCAATACGATTGGAGGTTTTGCCAATTGTGGCAGACCTGATGAAGCAATTGCGGTCTTCAATTAGATGATGTGCAGGGACAAGACCAGAAGCCCAATAGATCGCCATCATAAATGTTTTTGACGCTTGTTCAACTTCAGTTGAATTGGGCTCATGGAATTGCTATTAGAAGAGGTTTGGCAGCACAAGTAGCCATCGGAACTGCAATTGTTGACACGTACTCAGAAATGTGGGGCAATAGGAGAATCAAGAAAGGCATTTGGACAAATTTGTGGAAAAAAAAAAAAAACATTGTGTTGTTGAGTGCCATGATAGCTGCGTATGGAATGAATGGTCTTGGCCATGAAGCACTATCTTTGCTTGCAAAAATGAAGAGCGCTATCTTTGCTTGCAGAAATGAATCTGTATGGTTTGAAACCAAATGCAGTGACCATTCTTTCTCTGCTATCTGCGTGTAGCCATGGAGGTTTAATCCAAGAGGGCCTTTTCTTGTTCGCTTCAATGGTTCAAAATCACGGAGTTGAACGACGATTGGAACATTACACTTGTGTAGTTGACATGCTGAGTTGAGCAGGAAAGCTTGTAACAGCAATGGAATTTGCCAAAATAGAGTTAATTTCTTGATCTATTCATCTCCCAATCGGAGGATTTATATAGGAGTACAAACAATGATGATCAGGTATGAAACCAGTACAAGAAGTCATAAAAACACTGCTATGAAACTACTGCCTATACCTAACTTTACTGCTTACAACTACTTTATTAATTACAATGGAATTCATGTCTGATTTCCTAATTCTTTAGTCTACAATGGCTGGCTGCTTCAGTTAACAAGTCTACAATGGCTGGCTGTTAACAAGTCTACAATGGCTGGCTGCTTCAGTTAACACTCCCCCTCAAGTTGGTGCATAAATATCTCGAATGCCCAACTTGCTGAGTGAAAGATGGAAAATCCTACTTGACACTGCCTTTGTTAAAATATCTGCTAGCTGGTCATCACTCTTCACATAAGGCAAGTTAATGGTACCATCAACCAACCTTTCCTTAATAAAGTGTCTATCCACTTCAACATGTTTAGTACGATCATGTTGAACTGGATTATGAGCAATGCTAATGGCGGCTTTGTTATCACAATAAAGATTTGATGGCTTTGTAGAATTGAAACCCAATTCTCTCAACAAAATCTTGAGCCATAACAATTCTTGCACGCCGTGTGCCATACCTCTAAATTCAGCTTCAGCACTGGATCTAGCCACTACATGTTGCTTCTTACTACGCCAAGTAACTAGATTTCCTCCAACAATTGTAAAGTATCCAGAAGTCGATCTGCGATCAGTTACTGACCCAGCCCAATCTGCATCAGTGTATCCTTCAACTTCTTGATGTCCATGATTGGAAAACATCAAGCCTTTTCCAGGAGCAGACTTCAAATACCTGAGAATGCGTTGTACAGCATCCATGTGGGCTTCACTTGGCCTATGCATAAATTGACTCACCACACTTACAGCATAGGCTATGTCAGGTCGTGTATGAGACAAATAAATCAACCTCCCAACTAATCTTTGGTATCTTTCCTTGTTAGCCAAAACTTGATCAGGATAGTCTCCTAATCCATGGTTTTGCTCAATTGGTGTGTCTGCAGGTTTACAAGCTAACATCCCAGTCTCAGTTAATAAGTCTATAACATATTTCTTTTGAGAAAGAAAAATGCCATGCTTTGATCTTGCAACTTCAATACCCAAGAAATATTTCAAAGTACCCAAGTCCTTCATTTCAAATTCCTTGGCTAGATACATTTGAAGTTTTTGAATTTCCTCGACGTCATCACCTGTAACCACCATATCATCCACATAAATAATTAAGGCTGTAAGTTTACCTTTATCATGCTTAAGAAATAAGGTATGGTCAGCCTGAGTTTGCTTGAACCCATAATTTCTCATCGATTGAGCGAACCTGCCAAACCATGCCCTTGGTGATTGCTTCAATCCATACAAGGACTTTCTCAACCTGCATACTTTGCCAATATCACAAGTGGTAGTGAATCCAGGAGGAAGATCCATGTATACCTCTTCATCCAAGTCTCCGTGTAAAAATGCGTTTTTCACATCAAACTGTCGTAGAGGCCACCCCAGATTTGCTGCCAATGACATAAGAACCCTAATAGTGTTGATCTTTGCTACCGGCGCAAATGTCTCTTGATAATCAATGCCATAGGTTTGAGTATAACCTTTGGCTACCAATCTGGCCTTGTACCTCTCCACTGAACCATCAGCTTTATGCTTTACTGTGAACACCCATCTACACCCAACAGGTTTCTTGCCTTCAGGAAGTTTAACCAGTTCCCAAGTGGAGTTTCTTCGAAGAGCTTCCATCTCTTCAATCATAGCTTTTTTCCATTTTGGATTTTTAAGAGCATCCTGTAACTTATTAGGAATTGAGATTGATGACAATTGGTTTGCAAAAGCTATATAAGAGTCTGACAAGCGATGAGATGACACAAAATTAGATATAGGATATTGAATACCCTTTGTAGAAGAATATCCATAACGAACATGGGGTATCCCTCGATTTTCTCGAATAGGATAACGAGAACCAGACTCATGATGTGGTTCATTTGGATCAGCACTTAATGAAATCTCATGATTGGACTCATCAAATATAGTAGGCTGAAGAGAAGGAGAATGAGTGGTTACCTCAGGATAATTCGTATGAGCAGCAGCTGATTGGTCAGAGAGTTGGTCAATGAGGGGATCTATATGTGGGTGGTCTATCTCAGCAGCCACTTTTTCTTTTTCTTTTCCTTTATCTCACCTTTTTCTTGTCCTCTCATATACCTTCAATATTTTTCCATTCTTTGCCTCATCATTAGGCAAATTTGGACCATCACCGGCATCAGACAAGTGTTCATCCGAAAAATGCATACCACCGCCAATGTCAAGTGGCCACTGCTCTTCCTCCTTACTCCCCATCTCCCCCTGAAGAGAAGTGACCGAATCTCCCTCTGAAAAATAAGCCTCTTGTTCCTGAAAGGTAACATCCATAGAGACAAAAATTTTCCCATTGGGAGGATAGTAACATCGATACCCTTTCTGAGTAGCAGAATAGCCAATAAACATACATTTGATGGCTCGAGGATCCAACTTATCACGATTTTGCATGTGGACATGAACATAGCAGACACAACCAAACACTTTTGGAGGAATATGAAGGAGTGAAGGAAGAGAATGATACTGGGAAAGGGTTTGGATAGGTGTTTGAAATTGGAGAACACGTGATGGCATGCGATTGATAAGAAAAACAGCTGTGTGAATGGCATCACCCCAAAAACGTTTAGGAACATGCATAGCAAAACATAAAGATCGAGCCACATCCAAGAGGTGACGATTTTTACGTTCTGCTATACCGTTCTGTTGAGGAGTATGTGGACAAGATGTTTGATGAATGATACCTTCTTGTTGAAAAAATGTTCCAAGTCCATAATTCAAATACTCTTTCCCATTGTCAGATCGAACAACTTGAATTTTAGCATTAAATTGGGTTTGAATCATTTGATGAAATATTGGAAAAACAGACATAACCTCACTCTTACTTTTTAGTAAGTATACCCAAGAAACTCGAGTGCAGTCATCAATGAAAGAGACAAACTATTTAGCACCAGTATAAGTAGGAATATGAAATGGTCCCCAAACATCAGAATGAATAAGAGAGAAAGGAACATCACTTTTATTGGAGCTTAAAGGAAATGAAACACGATGATTTTTAGAAAAGATGCAAGTTTCACAATGGAAATTAGAAACCTTGACTTTAGAAAATAAAGAAGGGAATAGATATTGCAGGTACTGAAAGGAAGGATGTCCCAATCTTTTGTGCCATAACCAAACTTTTTCAGAAGCTTCAAATTGTTTAGCTTCCACTTGACAACTGTAACTTGCCTTCTCACAATCTGGTGGTAAGTCCAAGTAGTATAGACCTCCCCTCTCTCTACCATGACCAATCAACGCTTTCGTTCGAATATCCTGAAACCAACAATGAGTAGGAGAAAAGATGGCAAGACAGTTTAGTTGATTTGTAAGTTTACCAATGGAAAGCAAATTGTGAGAAAGATTAGGAACATGTAAAACAGATGAGAGAGATAGGCATGGTGTTAATGAGATGGAGCCTGCTCCAAGCACTGGCGTGGAAATACCATTAGCAACTTTAACGGTATTTAAAGGTGGAGTAGTGTGAGAAGCAAACCATGAAGAGTTATTGGTCATATGGTCAGAAGCCCCCGAATCAATGATCCAAGGTTTATTTGGAGCACCAAATGTGGTGTTCAAGGCAAAACCAAAGTTACCTGCGTCGACTAAGGAAGTGGAAGCAGTAGTAGGAGAAACTGAGTGAGCAGATTGATCTACTCGAGGCACGGAAGGCGTTGGTGTAGACAGGTGTGCTTGTGATCCAACAATGCTTTTCTTTTGATTTTCCTTCTTTTGAACCCACCAATCAGGATATCCATGCAACTTAAAACAAGTGTCTCTAGTATGCTTATCTTTGTCACAATAAGTACACTTCCTTGTATCAGTAACTTTAGATCCACCTGATCGAGAATTCGAGACTCCACGGGGAAATCGAGACGGAGCAGCTACCATGGCTGATCCTTCCACTTGTGGGCCAACCAACATAATGGTTTGCCTACTTGCTTCAGCATTCACAAGAGCATAAGCAGCACGAACAAATGGCAAAGGTGTTTGAGTCAAAACTTGACTGCGAACATGATCTAAATGAGGATCAAGGCCAGCCAGAAAATCATACAATCTTTCTTCTGAAATTTCTGTCTCTCGAGCAGCAACATCATCAGCACATTTCAATTTTCCAGGACGTAAGAAATCTATTTCTTGCCATGTTTGCTGAAGTTTACCATAATATGCAGATAAAGGCTCACCATTCTGGCGAGTCGCCAGTGCTTGACGGCGAAGTTCATATAATTTTGATGCATCTTTTTCAATTGAGTAAGTTTGGGTAACAGCATCCCAAACATCTTTTGCAGTAGAGAGTCGGAGAAAAATGGCCCGCAAATCTCTAGTCATGGAGTTGAGAAGCCAAGATTGAACCATGGCATTCTCTTCCTCCCATATAGCATACGATGCATCGGCTTCTGCTGGTGCCTTTTTTTTTTCCACTGACATAAGACCATTTGCCTCTGCCAGTGATGTAGATGCGGACACTTTAGGACCACGAGGAATAGTTGGACCCATCCAACTTGTCTGGGGTGATATGCAGAGACATATCATTTTGTGTAACAGCAGCTGAAACAGTGGTCTTGGAGTCACCCATTACTACTGCAACGAATTCTCTTTATTGAAACAATAGAGAGTCAGTCTCACTGAGAGAGATGCAGGAACAAAATGCAAGGAGGAAGAGGTAATGGCACGGGTTTGTTGGGTGATTCCAACGGGTATGGTTTATAGGGTATGGGGTAGTAAAATTTTTTTTTTGTTTTTTGGAAAGTTTTATGGGTTCGTGGAGATATTGCAAATGGACAGAAGATGGGTAGAGATGCAGCGGAATGTATATGGTTAACAAGCTCAATATGGGTAGTGATGTTGGCAGATATGGCCAAAGAGAGAGTGGATTCGTATGAAAGTAGAAGGCCTGCTATTCTGCAGGTCTTATGGGGTAGATGGCAGTAGTGCCAGTAGGTTAATCAGAATAGAAACTCCTTTTGGATCAGAATGGCTCTGATACCATGCCAAAATAGAGTTAATTTCTTGATCTATTCATCTCCCAATCGGAGGATTTATATAGGAGTACAAACAATGATGATCAGGTATGAAACCAGTACAAGAAGTCATAAAAACACTGCTATGAAACTACTGCCTATACCTAACTTTACTGCTTACAACTACTTTATTAATTACAATGGAATTCATGTCTGATTTCCTAATTCTTTAGTCTACAATGGCTGGCTGCTTCAGTTAACAAGTCTACAATGGCTGGCTGTTAACAAGTCTACAATGGCTGGCTGCTTCAGTTAACAGAATTTATAAGAAAAGGCCCGGAAAGTTTGATGGCCTCCGGAACAAGTAATGCTTGGGGTGCATTATTGAGTGCTTGTAGAAGTTTTAGGAACAGCGAAGTTGGTTTAGAAGCTGCCTCTCGTGTCCCTGAATTGGAGCCTGAAAACTCAGCCGGGTACTTACTGGCGTCGAGTATTTATGCAGCGAACGGGCTGTGGATTGATGCAGCGAGTATGAGAAGGCTGGTGAAGGAAAGAAGGGTGAGTGTTGCGGCTGGTTACAGCTTAGTGCATGTTGGTAACAAGGCATGTAGATTTGTTGCTGGTGTTGATAATTCCCACTCCAAATCCGTTTCACCTTCTCATGGAAATACGCATTCGATGCTCGAGATTTCGACTTAATCGAACAAAGTTCGTTAGTCAGTTGCTCGTGGTGACTGGGATTGATGGTGTAGGTTCAGTGTCGAAAATTGAATAAACTTCCAGAAGAACCCTATGCGATACGCTGCGCTACATCTTTGCTTTTCTACCATTAGTTTTCGGGAAACGAAAGACTTAGGACGGTATAAGGGACTTGTTTTTGTATGACCTCTAATGCGAAAATGTGGACGATGCATGATGACTTTTTTGGAATGAAATACAGTTTTTTTCACACAAATCACTTAGTTGTGCGTATAAGGGGCATTCAAATGCCATCGGAAGTCTCCTTATAACATTGTTCCTATACGGTTGAGAGATTGGTAACAACCTAACTTGACAAAGAAAAAAAAAAAAAAAGGGGTAATTTTTGTGACATATATATAGAATGGTGACTCATTCTAACAGGGTAATTTTTGTATCATTTAGCAATGGTAAAAATCAAATACCATTGCTGAATTGAAAAAAAATTATATATCAATGACATAAAACTTAAATATTGATGACGTAACAAACAAATGTCAACAATATGATAAAAGATCAATCATTTCAAAGTAAAAAAAAAAAAAAAAACCCAACACACAAAGAAGAGAAACATATGGAGAATACCAATGAGCCGCTAGAGAGAAGAGGAAATAGTAAGAATTATTTTATACTCTTATTATTTCTGATAATGAAATAAAATACTATTGCTGCCGCGAGGATGTAGACACACTTCTCGAACCTCGTAAATATTATATTTTATTTACTTTATAATTTCACAACAAAAATCTTGTAAAGAAATCGTATAATGTCCTCATCTGTAATATTCAATCATTATGATTCTCTTTTTGTGGGTACATTGTGCATTAAGTAAGAGGAATGTTACCTGAACCACGTTTATGCTTAATATGGGCTGCGATTTGTATGGGTGGAAATAAACTTTGCCCATATGTAACTGGTGTCTCACGTTTGTGGCACATGACGTAGCAAAGACATGCAACATTGCAGGCTTTTTGTGTGGGTGTATCAAAGATCGTGTAGTCTCTCGCATATATACCTTCCATCTTTTGATGGTAGTTTGTTTACAGATTTAAGTAAGTACTTTTTTTTTTTTTTAGCAACGATATGGTATTTCATTGATTTAAGTGTTCAGAGAATAGTAACAATTACAGAGAAACAGGAGAAGCTCCTGCTATATCAAAGAACTACTATCCGACAACAATACATCAATAATAATATCCAGTGATTCCTCAAGTGCAGTCGCTTGGGGAAAACGAGCAAGGCGGTGAACAATTTCATTGGCTTGGCGACGCGCATGGGAAGTAGAAGCTCCAGTGACCCCTGGCAGCAAAACCTTCGAATCCTCAATGATGTGGAAATTACCTTAAAACGCAATGTTGTAGCAATTAGAGCATTGTCAACGTCGTACCGTCGTCCCTCAAGCAGGGCTAAGTTGCTGCACCATGTGGGCAGGGCGGACCCAAGTGAGACGTAATTAAACGGATTAGGGTTGACAATAAGAGGAAGTGAAGCAGGTCCAAAGTTGTGAGCACAACGGACACCCTTTCAACTGCTAAATAAAAGTAGGTCTAATGTCGCATACATGACTGTTTGGTTGACCCATTTATATACGCCGTATTTGTGTCAATTCACTGGTTGATCTATTTATATTAGCCGTATTCATGTCAATTCACCGGTTGATTGATACATGATTAACTTCTACTATTTATTAGAAAAATGAAGAAAAAAAATTACCATTTTGCTAATCTATTAGGGAATTGTTATAGGCACTTCAAAATTCTCATCCTACATTTCAAACTTTTTATATTTAGAAAGAAAAATACACTTGTGAGGAGCGTTGAATGAGGTTTTTGAAGTGCCAATAACACTTCCCATACATTAGCAGCCATGTCATGCCACCTATTACCTCATGTCTTCATTTTGGTAGAGGAGGTTATGATCTCGGAGGAGGATTCTCTACCCTCCTAATCTCTCTACCCTTCTATACTTTCTTCTTTAAATAGTCATGGTTAAGCCACGTCAACATCTTACATTAATTTTTTTTATAGAAATAATAAGACAAAAAATAATGTGTGAGAGACGGAGATGAAAAGGGATGAGAATAGGAAGGTAAAGAATCCTCCTATGATCTCATTTCTTAAAAACGACACTTGTTAAATAATCAATAAAATAAAATAAAAAGGAACAAAAAATATTTAAAAGTTAGTCCCGCCAAAACATGGACCCAACAACGTCACTCACCAAAGCTTTGTTCAACAACGCCAACAATCCCAAGCTAGCATGGCACCTCTTCAAGCGCATTCTCTCCTCCCCCACATCCTCATCCTCCTCGCCCTCCTCCGATCTCCGCCTCCGCTCCCTCCCCGTCATTGCCCGTATCCTCATCGACTCCAAAATGCACCGCGAAATCGACAGCCTTCACCGGCTCCTCCTCCACTCGCAGCCCCTCCAAACCCTTCGCCCTTGCCTCCTTTCGCTCGTGCAAACCCTGGCCAAGTCGAACCTCCCCTATAAGGCCGTTGCCCATTTTAAATCCCTCCGCAGCCGGTTCCCTGAAGAGCCCCCCTCTGTGTATTTGTATAATTTGCTCCTCGAGTCTTCTCTCAGGGAGAATCATGTAGATTTCGTGTTGTGGCTGTATAAGGACATGTTCGTCTCCAGGGTTAAGCCGGAAACATATACCTTTAATCTTTTGATATGGGCCTTTTGTGAATCGGATCGTTTGGATGATGCCCGCGACATGTTTGATAAAATACGTCACAAGGGTTGTCTGCCGAATGAGTACAGTGTCGGAATTGTGATTTGTGGGTATTGTAGAGCTAGGCTTGCTGGCAGAGGTTTGAAAGTTTTGGATGAGGTGAGGAGTTCTGACGTTTTTCCGAACAAGGTTATGTACAATACTTTGATTTCTAGCTTCTGCAAACAAGGCAGGACTGATGAGGCTGAGAAGTTGGTAGAGAGGATGGATTGTTTCCGGATGCCCGTTACTTTCAATTCTAGGATTTCGACTCTCTGTAGTGCTGGGAAAATCCTTGAAGCTTCTAGAATATTTAGAGATATGCATATAGATGATCAAGAGTTGGGGCTGTCTCAACCTAATGCTGTAACATATAATTTGACGTTGCAAGGATGGGATGTTAGGGGAAGCAGAGGCATTGATCAAATCTATGGAAAGGGCTGGTGATTTTATTAATTTAGGGAGTTATAACATATGGTTGTTGGGTCTGGTCAGGAACGGGAAGCTCTTAGAGGCATGATCGGTTCTTCAAGAGATGGTAGATGAAGGCATAGAACCCAGTATTTACTCTTACATCATTGTGATAAATGGGTTATGCGAAACCGGGATGCTCCGTGATGCAAGAACGGTGATGAGTCTCATGGAAAGAAATAATATTTCCCCAGATACGGTGACGTACAGTACTTTACTTCACGGTTTCTGCAGTAAAGGTAAGGTATTTGAGGCCAACAATATTCTGCATGAGATGATGACGAATAATTGCTTCCCAAATACTCATACTTGAAACACTTTGCTGCAGAGCCTTTGGAAGGAGGGAAGGACATCAGAAGCAGAGGAGCTTCTGAAAAAGATGAATGAGAGGTTATGGCTTAGATACTGTGACCTGCAATATTGTAATTGATGGTCTATGCAATGATGGGAAATTGGACAAAGCAATGGAAATTGTGAGTGGGATGTGGACTCATGGAAGTGTGGCTCTTGGAAACATAGGGAACTCATTTTTTGGCCTGGTTGACAATAGTAATAATGGGAAGAATTGCATCCCTGATTTGATAACGTATTCAACCATAATTGGTGGGTTATGCAAGGCTGGGAGGCTTGATGAAGCGAAGAAGAAGTTCATGGAGATGTTGGGGAAAAGCTTGCACCCTGATTCAGTGATTTATGATATGTTTATACGAAGTTTTTGTGAACAAGGAAAGATATCATCTGCATTTCGGGTGTTGAAGGACATGGAGAAAAATGGTTGCAACAAGAGTATTCAAACTTATAATTCACTAATCCTGGGATTAGGGAGGAAAAAGAAAAATTTTGAAATATACGGACTGATGGATGAGATGAGAGAAAGAGGAGTTCCTCCTGATGTATTCACTTATAATAACATGATGAAAAGTCTCTGTGAAGGAGAGAGAGTCAGAGATGCCACTTCTCTTTTAGATGAAATGCTGCAGAAAGGCATATCCCCGAATATATCTTCCCTCAGAATATTGATTGAAGCTTTCGCTAAGGGATGTGATTTTGGAGCCGTGCATGAGGTATTCAACATTGCTTTAAGTGTATGTGGCCACAAGGAAGCCTTGTATAGTTTGATGTTTAATGAGTTGCTCGCTGGAGGGGAAATATGGAGTGCTAAAGAGCTATTTGAAATTGCATTGGACAGGTATTTTTTTCTGGGGAATTTTAACTACAATGATCTCATTGACAGACTTTGCAAGGATGAAAAGTTAGAGGATGCTGCTAGCATCCTTCATGCAATGAAGAATAAAGGATATGGATTTGATCCACCATCATTCCTGCCAGTAATTGATGGATTAGGTAAAGGGGAAATAAGCAGGAGGCTGATGAACTTTCAGAGATAATGATGGAAA